GTGATTTTTGTTTCCCCCCTAATTTCCTAACGACGTTAGGAGAGCAACATGTGGTTGGAATATGGTGTTTTGATATCAAATAATATGGCACTGGTAATTCGAAAACAGGAAGGGTAGAAAAGTTAACTAGTAGTAAAAACAAATATGTTTATATTGCATTTGAATTTACAAATTCTACTAATTTCAATAATGTCCAATGTGGTTTTATAAATCAGTCTGTTGGTGAATTATAATTGAAGTATAGTTTTTACCTGTTACTTTGCGCATAAACTTTTCTGCTCACCCGACGACTTCATCCGCTGGTGTTCGCTATTCAGTATTAAGTATACGCCCCGAGCAACAATGATGATGCGAAGGTTTCTAGATTTTAGCTTTCAGCGAGGCAGGTGGATGGCGAGTAAATATTACCTATCCGGAGTCCGGACTCCCGGACTCATCATCTGTTACCGCAGGATGAGAGCCTCACCCCCACCCACCGCCTCCTTCACCACGTGGTCCCTCCATGTCAGCGCACGTGTGTACATTTTTAATTATGCCAGCGCACACAGAGCGAACGAGGTGAAAACAGAGCAGCGTGGATGTCGGGCAACTAACTTATTAAAAAGCACTCGCCTAGCAACGCATATATTTGCCGAATAAAGCGGAAATTAAGGCAAACTAGGTGCACCTTTTCCCATTTCCAAGGACGACTAGGCCATCCTTTCGTTCGCAATTTTCAGCTGACCACCTTGTGGCCTGAGGAGTTACTCAAGCCAATTTTCCCGCAAGCGATTTGCATAACTGTAGGCAGATGCCTATGGCTGTTGCTTTCCCATTGTATTCCACTAAGAGCCCGAGTAATAGAGAAATGTCGGGGAAAAACCCCACGAAATCCTTCGGTAATCCAGCTTACTTACTGACTGATGATAACCTAAAAGTGTGCAAAGCCTATCAAGCTGCACAAGCCATGAGCAAACGAATAAATGAAAAAATCCGAGTAGATAGAATTGTTTGTGAACTACTCGTAAAAATGTAACTTCCTAAACTGAGTTGGAAATTGCTTAATTTGACGAGGCAGAATTAAGATTTAAGAATTCCGACTATAGGGACACTGTACAATCGCCTTGAATTAAAAAATTGGGAAAACTAAACTATCTTTGGTGACCTTTATTGAAAAGCTATCCTAGTTTTAATAGAACGCAATAATAATATTCCACAAAAAAAATTCTTAAAATTGCAATTGTTTTACTTTGTAACTTTAAGCGCTATCCCGATATATTTCAAATTGAGAGAATTAGTTATACGCTGTATACATACCAGAAATTTACCATTAGCACGTCGATTTGATCTCGGTGTGTTTTTTTTTTTGTGTACAATAAATAGATGGCAATTAACTTGTTTTATGAATTTTTTAACTTTATCTTTTTACTTTGTCACGAATCAGGATACCCTTACTACTGTACAATAAGACTACTAAACTACCCACCATAAATCTTATGAACAGCAGAAAGGGAGGGACTGGGCTCTTGGGCAAGGCAAAAATTATTACATGCCTCATTTGCCAGCGCCTTGAAGAGTCTGCTTATTATATTTTGATTATTTTTGGCACGCGTGTTTCGCAGAACCTCAAGGCGAGCAACTCCACACCGAGACCGAGTGCTGTAAACAAATTCGTAAATACGCAGACTGGTCAACGGGCGGATGCTGATTTACAGGGATGGAATGGGGCACATAAACAGGCCAGCTGGGTTCTTTTTTTGGTTGCATAATTTTTTCATTTTATTTTGGACTCGTTTGGCCCGCTTTTGTCCATAATGAGATATCTCTATTCTCCTTTGTTTCTTTTCATCATTTTGTGTTACACTCAGTCCATTGTGTTCCCGGTCTGCGTGGTTGTTGTTTTTGCATTTCGCGAAATGCCGCTGGGAAATTCGTGTAACCAAAAAAAGGAGGAAAAATCTACTGGGCTCAAATGGCAATGATGCCGTCGAGGTGGTCTTATTAATTAGGACACGCGCCCTGAGTTATATTTATTTTCTAATATTCTCCACTCTATATATACACGTGAACTGTAAAGGGACAGCGGCTTTTGTTATTTAAATGCACGGCCATTTTTGAAGCCTTGCCTTTCTTGATTGCCAAATTTTATTGCACAAGAATCCTCAACAGTAATTTTTTGTAAAACAGGAACACCAAAATTATGAAAATACCTGAATATAATGGTATGATAACCAATACAAATAAATTAAAACAATAATCTTTAAAAAAAAAAATCGGAAAAAAATGTTTTAATTATGCACTTCACTGAATCGATTGCAATACTCTTAGATCGTATAATAATTACCCTCTTATTTTATTATACCCGTCACTCGTAGAGTAAAAGGGTATATTGTATTCGTGCAAAAGTATTGTAACGAACTGATTTTGTATGTCTGCTCGCTACGAGATTCGTGCGGCTAGCTCAGAGAAGTTATGTGTTCGTCCCACCAAATTTATATAAACGTGACCGCCCAGTAGATCAGTGAGAAAGCACAGAATTCACGGGTTCGAATTGGGGGTATGATTACAGCGGTCTTGATGGCTCGGTTGGCCTTGGTGTCGCCACTCGGGGTCTCGTCTCTGCAAGTTGGTGCGTCGCCCCGGTGATCGCCTGCCTCGCTGATTCCGTGCTCCGGTCCTGTAGCTCCCTGTAGCTCCTTGTAGCTGCTCGGCGATGTTCGTCTCCGATGCGTTGACTCGAAGACCACTCGTAGCGCCTCGGACTCGCAAGGAGATCAGCCGTGCGGGCTTAGGGAAGCGTCACCGTTCTCAGACTAGGGTGAACAGGAGCTGCGCTCTACAGGACAACGCCTATAGACACACAACCGCCTGTCCCTGGCTCTGTCCCGGATGGTCCCACTAGGCTCCTGCTCGGATCGCGCTGACAGTCTAGGTGGACACCTGGAAGCTGCCTAGTGCTTCACCTTGCTTTACGCCTGGTGTAAACGAACGTTCCACCCTGGCCTCACCCGTTAGCTCGTTCGTGACGTTTCCGTGTGGCTTGATGTCCGATGCTCTGCTCCGGGATGCGCTGGTTGTGAGGTTGGACGTAGCGTGGCTTCTGGTACTTGGGGTTACGTACACGCCAGTCCCTTGAACTGACAAACGGTCCGTTCTCTCTAGGACAGCGCCTTGAATTAATAACCGGCCTACGCTCGCCCTTTCTGGCTCGTAACACTCGGGGTCTGGGACACACGCCGGTCCCGGGCTCGTAGAACCGTTGGGTCTCTCTAGGACAGCGCCTTGAAATGACCAACGGCCTGTTCTCTCTAGGACAGCGCCTTGAGATGACAATTGGCCTGCTCACTCTAGGACAGCGCCTTGAAATGATAACCTGCTTACGGCTCTCGCCCCGAGTTCACGATCTCTTGTCGCAGGACTTCACTGCTCGACTCTGAGGGACACGCCAGGCGCAATGCGAGGCTTTAGTCGTACAGGAGTAGGAACAGTTCGCCTTGACTTAGCCGTGTGATGCCCTCTGGACCTCAGCTACCTGTGTCTCAATTCGGAGATTCCTGATTCCTCGACGTAGCGATCTTGCTCCTTGTAGGCTCCCACGGCGCTGCTTCCGACGACTTGACTTGTGTTTTCACTCGTAGATTACTTGGCACTGATTGGTTGACTTATTCACTTTGCTATCTTAACTGATCTTGACGGATTGATTCCTTGTGATCGACTGATCCAGTTGCCAGCGCCCGGCGGCTTTATATAGGGCCTCCGGGTACCGTTATGTCCCTCGTGCGCTCTGCCCGCGGCATCTCTCCACTCCGGGTCCAAAGTCCGTGGTCCCTGTTTGACCCACTTGTCCTTCACGCACGGCTTTAAATTGTAGTTCTGCTCGTTGCTGCCGTCCCGCGGATTCTTATGTTGCATGTGGCACGCCTGTGTGCCGCTCGGTTGCTGAGATGTGGCACTTGTCCTCCTGGTCCAAAGTTCACGGCAGAGTCCAAAGTCTGGTGCAGTTCCGTTATTTCCTTTTGCACACACGGCACTTTGGCTCTGCCCGCGAAGTCTCCACTCTCTCACTCTCCGCCATGACTCTCCAAACTCTCTTGTCAGAGTTCTCTCTCTCGACCTCGAAGTCTCCAAACTCTCACTCTACACTTCTCGGTCTCCAAACTCTCTCTCTCCGCCGCGCCGCTACTACGGTAATTCGCCGTAACTGGTAAGCGGCCGGCCATCCGTTATTTTAGCTGCTGCTATTTGTGATGAGTTATTCAACTCCTCACAGTATGTAACAGCTAGAAGGAAGCGTTTCCGACCCCATAAAGTATATATGTTCATGGGGTTTCGGGGTCACTAGCCGAGTCGATCTAGCCATGTCCGTCTGCCCGTTTGTCTGTCCGTCTGTCTGTCCGTATGAACGCTGAGATCTCGGAATCTGCAAAAGCTAGAAAGTTGGGATTACCCACACATATCCTTGGGCTTCCTACGCAGGGTCGCAGCCGAGCGCCACGCCTCCTTTAATCGCCCACTAACGTTTTTAAAATGTGTCTGGCGCCCACACCTTTGAAGATTTCCGAGAAGTATAAATGCGATTTCGTTGTGTATATTTATCCCTATCGAAATGTAGAAATGTAGACTGTAGCGTTCTTTCTTGTTTTTTTTTAGAGATAGTTTCTTTTTGTCCATTAAACTCTAAATTCTTCAATACAAATACTAGGGCCCTTTTTTCTCTTCCGTATGTTGAATTTAAAGTAGGATTAGTGGAATCTTGAAAATGTATGGACACAAAAAAACCACACCGCAATCAAATCTATATGCGCATGGTAAATTTATGGCATCTCGTTTTTGGGAGAAAAAAAGAGAGCAATAAGCAAGGTGGCGACTTAAATTACGTGAGTTTAAGCGAGAATAACTAATTCTCCTAATTCGACACCCACCCGACTATAGCGTTCTCTCTTGTTTTTACTTACCATTTCCAAACAAAATTTACCAATGATAAGTAGGTAACTAGAAAGTGTTCGGATTTACGGGACAAATTTACTAATAAATGAAATCAAGCAACAGCTCTAGATAAAAATTCACAAACTCTTTAAACTCGTTGTAATACACTGTTCCAGCGATGTCGAGATTGAACAAGGGTTTCGCCCGCCTAATCAATCCGGGCGTGGTGCTCAATCCGGAGCTGAACCAGAAGATAGTCGCCTTCGAGGCCATGGCTGCCGAGCGATCTGACCTGGATGTCGAATTGAGCCAATTGCGCAAGCAGCAGGACGACACCGAGGATAATTTGGCCGAGGCTCTGGCCGAGGACGAGTTTCAGTGCAATTTGAGGGGACAGCAGTTCACAGGTCCCAACGATGATGAACTGCAAACAATCCTCAAGAATCACCTCGGGGGAATTATCGACAAGCTGGCCAAGAAGTATGAGCGCATTGTATACCTAGATGCTGACATCCGGAAGCTCAAGGGAACCATCGAAAAGGCCATCATTGTGGCAAATGAGGAATCGGCAGCCGCAGCCTCGATGTGAAGCGATTTTACCTATTTTTGCACTTCCATGTGCATCTTAAAAATTTTCGTTCTCTTCCAAGAGTTTGCCATTCATAAATCAAATGATATATAATATAACTGAAAAGCTTTCATTTAAAATGAGCTAGAAGAACGAGACTGGGTTTATTAATTTCCTAAAAAACCCTATAATCCGTTTACTTGGATGGCATTCCCTATTTGTTACCTCCCGAAATCTCTTCATTTATTTCTCTGGTCTCCTTCAATCACTTGCGCGGAATTAAAGCCGCAACAATCTCATTTCCTGCCATTTATTTTTATTTTTACACACTCGCACAGACAATCCAACGAGGAGAAGACATTGCAAATTTAATTGCGTATACGCACAGTTGCCACTGCAGTCGCGAACACAGCTTCCTCTACGGCAGCAGATACACTCTGTTGACTCTATCGTTAAGTGCATAAATTCAATAATGCCGAGCGTCTGGTGGTGTCAACGCGCTGCGAAAGATATAGACTTGCAGGATCGATAAAGCTACAGTTTGCAAATTTATGGAACTTCCTGTGCAATAAAAATGGCTCCCACTTGTTTCATTTATTTAAGTAAACTAAAGCTTGCAAAATCTTTTTATATTGATTTTTAATAAAACCGCAAAATGTTCAACCATCTCCAAAGTTCAACTAAGACGAGACAATGAAAAACCGAACTTTAACTAACTTTAATTGCCAAAAGGACCACACAATGGGCAAGGAGCTACTACAGATACAAGTCTGATGTAAGAACCTGATTGCATATTTGTTGTTACTTCGTTTTGGTTAAACATTAATAGCCCGAGATCCCAGGAAGACCTGCAGATATATTTGAACAAAAGCGGACTATTTGGCTTTGCCCTTACTCTAATTAATTAAATTGAAATGTTCGAGGAGGTAACAATTTCAATTTTGTTTTAGTGGCAGACTGGTCAAACAAGCTAAATGCAAATTTTCCAACCAGACATGGGTCCTAACGAGAACATTTGCATGAAGTCAATCATCTCGACTGGTCAGTGAACCGAGAATAAGACACTTTGGGTCTGTGCCTTCAATTCACTGTATCTTTGTGCTGTGACTCTGATTGCCTTTCATCCCAGTCAATTGGAAAATTCGCACTAACAAAGCATTATTGGAAATATTTTAGCAAAAAAATTGTTTGAAAATTCTGCAAGAAATACACAGCTATTTAGAAAGTGTTGGATTTTGTGTTTTAAACCCATTCGATCATTTTAAGTTATCCATAAGCGTATTTCTAAGCATAAACTTTTTCAATTATTAATCGCTAATCGCTTTTTAGCCAACCTAAATATGCTGGGCTCATCAATTACAATTGCCACAACTTAAAAACTTGGTTCATAATTTTTTGAAGGTCATCCCTTAGAGTCGTTCGTCTTCATTATGATAAATTGACGATGCGAACATATTTCATCTGAGCGCTGAAATTTAGAACGAGGCGATAATGAGATGTTATTAATATCAACTTGCGACTTATTTAGTGACAAACCCCTTTGGTCCCACAGGCAAATGGCATTATGCAAAAAAGCGAAGCGTATAAGAACATTTTTGGACTGGTCCGAGCCCTTAAAAAAAACTAAGCCGCCTCTTGTTGAGCAGCCTTCAGAAGTGTCAAGAAAACAAATGACGGTCAGCTTTTTTTCTTGCGTTCCTAAGCCAACCTTGAATAAACAGAAGCATGAGCAAGTGTTTAACTTTCTTTTCTTCAGCGTCAACGTTGCCTTTTTTAAGGCACTCGCCTTGGAGCCCTACACCCATAGGCTTGTAACTTGAGAACATAAAAGGGGCCTTTTCAAAAATAAGAATGATGCGCAGCAGAAAATTCGTCCCTTTTATATACATTTTTTTTAATTACCCAGCAACAGGTTCGAAGTCGATAATTATTGATTATTATAATCTAACAGGATCGCAATTTTTTTCTTGTTAAATAATAGCAAATTTGTAGGTTAACTAAATGCTGCTATTTATAGTACCATTTTGTTTTCAATTTGCTTGCCAAGCATAAGTAGGCAAACATGTTTGGCAACCCAAGCCATACTATAACGAACATGAAATACGGCCAGTACGATAAGGTCAGAGATAAGCAAATTGTGCCACATAACAATGGATGAAACAGGAAAAAAGACCCGGTTACAGCCGTTACTCACATAAATCAAATAAATGGCAAACAAAAAAGTGGCCAGAACAAACCACACAAAATGAAACTAAATGGTACATGAAAGCATCCCAAAATACTTTTAAATTAGGACTCATACATTTAAAAACAAGAAAGGAAGCTAGCTTCGGCCAGCCGAAGCTTATATACCCTTGCAGATCATTCCTATTAATTAACAAATCGCAAAAATGTTCAATTTTCTAATATTTCTCATTAATTATCCGATCGTTCCTATGGCAGCTATATGATATAGTCGTCCGATTTTTTAAATAATTAATTCGAAATTCAGAAATATTTAAAAAATAACATCCCCAAAAGTAGAAGGTTTTATTTCAAAAAACACCGAAGCTAGAATTTTTTAAAGTTTTTTTTTTCGATCCTTCCTATGGGAGCTATAAGATATAGTTGTCCGATTCGGTCGGTTCCGACATATATACTACTTGCAATACACTCAAAATAAAATTAACCCTAAAGTCAAGGAAATCGCCCTACTTTTGTCTTCAAGACAAGCTCGCCCTAAATTTTAGGGTCACATTTTTCTATATTTTTGATTTTTTTTGACGTCATATTTCTAAATTTTAGGGTAATTTTACTAAATTTAAGGGCAAAAATTTCTAAAAAGTAGGAAACTTTCCTAAAAAATAGAAATTAAAAACAAAACAAAAAAACATGTTCAATCATGATTTTTTTTGTATATACGTTTATATTATGTACTCCTCCTTATATACATATGCAGGCGTTGTGTGTCTTGTATATTGTGAATGTTAAAGGTTATGTATTTATTATTATGTATTTGCGCTTGGATTTCTTATCTAACCAAAGCCAAATGTTGTTGTAAATGTGGACTACGGGACTGCGGAAGATTGGGAATGTAGAAATTATGATTAGTTAATATTTTATCTTCATGAAAAAAACTTACATTTTTACTTGTCCGTCGGTGAGAATCGAACCCGGGTCTCCCGCGCGAGGAGCGAACGGCCTACATACTGGGCCATTGTAGCACTTAAATTTGCTGTGGCAAACCGAGCATTGTATGTAAAGGGTCAAGCGGAGAATACATTTGAATACTAATTGCATAATTTTGACCATTCGCGTTTTACTTATTTACATACATATATACTTATGTATATATTTATGCTATCGCAATTTATATTATGTGTAGTATATAGTAAATAGCTAAATATAAACCAAATTATTTTCGGTTTACCGCTTGCCATCAATAAAAAAAAGGAATAAAAAAAGACTAAAAAAACAAATTTATAAAAAAAATATTTAAAAAACAATAAAAAAAAACTTTAAAAAAAAAGGTAAAAAATAGTTTGCTCTGGGACTCGAACCGTCTGCGCTACGAGTACAGCCGCCCGGCAGCTGACAAGTTCTGGCATTGAACATTTTGGTGTGCCAGAGCATGTGAAAACAACTATTTCTATTTTTTAGAAAAACTTTCTACTTTTTAGAAAATGTTTCTATTATTTAGGGTTAGCTTAATTTTAGGGTTAGGGCACTCATTTTTAGAAAAAGTGTTGCCAAAATATTTTATTATTTTCGTTTGCCTTTCTATTTTTCAGAAAATTATTTCTAATTTTAAGGGCATTTTTTCTAGATTTTAGGGTGATTTTAGTTCATGGTAACCATTTTCTACATTTAAGAAATACTTCCTGGATTTAAGAAAAACTTTCTTGACTTAAGAAAAATTTCCTTAGATTTAGAAATAACTTTCTTGTATTTAGAAAAAAGAAATTTTAATGGCGATTTTCTAAAATTTAGGGTTAAATTTATTTTGAGTGTAGAAAGAAGACTTTTGCGAAAGTTTCGTCCCGATAGCTCAAAAACTGAGAGACTAGTTTGCGTAGAAACAGACAGACGGACAGACGGACATGGCTAGATCGACTCGTCTTGTGATGCTGATCAAGAATATATATACTTTATGGGGTCGGAAACGTCTCCTTCACAGCGTTGCAAACTTCTGACTGAAATCATAATACCCTCTGCAAGGGTATAAAAAAAACCTGGGTGCTATAAAAAGTATTGTTGGAACGCACAAGTAAAATTTAACACAAAAATTGAAGAAACAGTTACATATTATTCCATCCCTGCATTCTTCACATGTAGGTGCTGAATTCATTTGTATATTATTTAATATTATTATTTATAATCTAAGAGTGAGCCTTCCCTTTCAATTTGTGCTTTTCGTAAGAACACCATTGGTGCAGCTTATTCAATCACATCAATTTAATGGCAATTACATGTTCTAGCAGTTGCGAATGATAATGTGCACTCGGAGACCTCCTTTGCCTCGTACACCAGGCATATTGAATTCCACTTTGCTAATTTGCGTAATTGCGCAGCACTGCCATCATGCAGATGCTGATGCAGTAAGAAGTTAAATGGGGTGACAAGAACTAAACGAGGTAACCACGAACAAAGGTATCTTAAATGATTTGTACCACAGGTTGGCATAGGGGTACTTGTATAAATCTGGAATGCAATGGGTTATAAAGACGGAAGCATGAAAAATAATTTCAATAAAAATGTTGCTTTAAGAAATCGGAAAATATTCCCAAAAGTTGGTTAATTGCAGATACCTAGCCTGTCTGTATCCAACTCCAACCTCCATATTTTCTGCCCGGGGAAAAGCCCAGCCCTTCTGCAGATGCCAGGTGAAGACCAATTTGTGGCTGGTCAGATTTCGTTAATGGCTTAATACGAGCAGCATCTGCAGTTGCAGCCACCATCTGCGGCAACTGTTTTGGCATGCACCTTAAACGACGGAGCTGGCCGCTTGACCCCTGGACCTCTGGACCCCGGAGGCCTAGAATCCCGCCAGGCAGATGGCCAAGACAGGTGACAATGACAAGTGCACAGGGCTAGCAGGTGGCAATTTTCCGAATTTTGCAGGTGACAGGCGAACGTGACCAGCAACAAGTTGCGTCTGCGGCGGATCATTGCGG